CAGATACTTGAGGCAGAAGGGATTGAATACAGGGAACTGGGTCCTTGCAAAATCATCAGAACAGCCTGGCAAAACTGGTCTTTTGGGGAACCTCCATGGTCAGTCAGGGTGGAGGGGAACCAGAAGGTCACCAGGCCATCATCTCTAGACACCCCTAAACTGTAACTGGACACCAGATGTTGCTCCAAGAAAACATTCCATGACCAAGGCAAAACCAAGATGGCTTCCACTTCCGGACCTCTCAGACATCTGACCAGCGAACTACGAGCACACAGAACCGTAGCTGCAGGGGGGATTACTGTTAGTGATGTCAGGTGCCCTTGACCCTGAACACAAGGCCTCAGCATCCAGCACCCTGGGCTGGATGTAAGCCTCAGATTCCCAATTGAGGTTGACCAGACTGTGACCCGCGGAGGGGCCAGGGTTGCCTTGTAGAGCTCTGGCTCGCCAGCACTTCACACAGGCCTGGGACAAGAAAATTATATAGTTAAGCAAAAATGCTAACAGGAAGAAATGACAGGGCTGGCCCCGTAGCTCTGGAGTTAAGGGAGCGAGGTCCCATGTGGCTGCAAGGTTCAAGCAGTTTGAATCTTGGCCCCAGAGGTTTAAAAAATATGCAAGGGGGCCGGCAGGTGGCGTGGAGGTTAAAGGCACTGGATTCCCACATGGCCAATCACCGTTTGAGTCCCGGACCTGGTGGCTTGCGTTCTCGCTTTCCCTTCTTCTCTCTGTAACTGTCTGGTCAAATTTAAATAAATAAATAAAAACAACAAATGGAATTAAATAAATAAATACTTTTTTTTTTTAATGAGAAAATGCAGGTACATATATGGGTGTGGCCCAACCCCCAGCAGGATGGAGAGATGGAGGAAGAGGAATTGCGGCGTGACCGGGCCTTGCTGGGAGTACTTCCTCCCTTTCCTTCTCTCTGTCCCTCTGGAAGCACACATGCCCTCTGGAAATTTTTTTTGAATGGAATCTGTCCAGCTTCGAGCTCTAAGCACTTACCGCTGTGGTTAAGGCTGCATTGCCTGTCACGGTACCTTCTGGCATTCGGAAGTCACTGAGTTGTGCAATGAACAAATGAACACACTAGTGCCCCTCCTCTGGGGACCCGCGGCCCCTTCTCAGCCGCCTGGACCACCCTCCACCCCCTGCCAGGCCTGAGGTTCTCTCCAGGCCAAAGCTCAGAGTAAAACGTGCTCTTTACACTGCACTGGGACGCTCCCAGGGACTGTGGGTGACTCTTAGGCACCACCCTCACCACCCCCATAAAATGGGTGACTTTTTCTGTTTCTGATTTTCTGGAAATATGATTCATGCTTTCACTAAAATTCTAAGCTCCCAAAATTTGATAATCTGCTGCATCAGAAGAGGACCTGGGCTCTCCCTGCCATCCCGACCTCAGTTCAGACCTATGCTGTGGTGGGGATTTGTTCATGCACCATCCACTCACCTGCCCAACCGCCCACTCTCAGCCACCTGTCCATCTACTCCCTCACCCACCCATTCATTATCTCAGCCTCCACTCCCCATCCACCCACCCTTCTATTTCTCTCATCCGCCCACCCACCATCCATCCATCTACCCACCCATTCATCCATCCACTCATCCATCCACCTGCTCTCCCATCCACTCACTCTCCCACCCACCCATCCATGCATCCACTCGTTCTGCCATCCATCCACCCATCCATCCACCCATCCATTCAGACACCCATCCATCCGTCTACTCACCATTCATCCATCCACTCATTCGCCCACTCACTCTCCCATCCACCTATCCTTTCACCCATCCACCCACTCATCCACTCACCTGCTCTCCCATCCACCCATCCATGCATCCACTCACTCTGCCATCCATCCACCCATCCATCCACCCATCCATCCATCTACTCACCCATTCATCCATCCACTCATTTACCCACTCACTCTCCCATCCACCTATCCTTTCACCCATCCACCCACTCACCCATTCACCCACTCATCCATGCATCTAACCACCTGTTCATCCATCCACTCACTCATCCATCCACCCACTTTCCCATTCACCCATCCATTCATCCACACATGAAATCACCAATCCATCTACCCACTTATCCATGTATCTGGTGATTCATCAAGCCATCTATTAAGTTGTCCATTTTTCATTTATTAATTTATTTATTCATTTAATTATAAGTTTATCTTTCGCTCATCCATCCATAATTCACAATATTCAACCATGAAATCATCCACACTATTCACCTCACAATTGGTCATTTGTATCTGTTGTATTCAACTGTCCATCATCTGCCTGTTCATTTATCTCCTACTGTTTCTCATTCAGTCATTATTTCAGTTGTTCATCATTTCATTGATCTCTCCGTCCACTCCCGCCATCTATAATCAGTTCCCTTATCCATCCACCCATGTACCCAGCCATTAAATCGCCCAGTTGACCATCCACCCATCTGTCAAAGTGTCACTCATCCTTCCACCCCTTAAACACTCCATCCACCCATCCTACTCCCTCTACCGGAACCAAAAGATGAATCACAACTGGTCCTACCCTGTGTTCCTCACTGACTGATGGGAACAGATAGGCACAGCCAGGTGGAAAATATTAAGAAGTCTGTGAGCACTCCAGGCTGGTGCCCTCGCAGGAGGAGACTCGGGTCCATCCGGAGGTTCAGAGAAGGCTCCTCGGAGGAGGCTGGCATCTAAACCAGTCTCATAAAGACAGGGTCAGCAAGCAAGCTCCCCTAGACACCCCAGGGGTGGCTCACAGAACCCGTTCACCTGGAGGCCCACTGAGCTCGCTAGCACGTTAAAAACCCAGGGGGTCTGCAGCAAGCCTTGGCATTGGTAAGCCCAGGAACTCCTGACTCACTAGACTAGGGTACCCTTTCCCCACACCCATCCTGTTATCCCTGAGAATTGTGTCCTTCAGGTCCCCATTTGGGAAATGCTCGTCTGGTCCAGACTTGTTTCCACAAACAAGAAAACAAAGTTCCACAAACAGTCTCTGCCTTCGTGAATTCCCATCTAGTGGCTTCCGTGTTTCCTCCTGACAGCTGAGGACAGTACATGGCACACAGTAGGTGCTCGGTAGGTATTTACCAAAAGAACGGTGGTGGGAAAGGAGTCACTCCCAACGATCCTGGCTTTTAAGCCCTCCCGCTCCCCAGCACCCCTGGGTGACCTCAGCCAGCACCACAACTCCCAGTGAGGAGTGGCGATCATCCCAGCGAGGACAGATGGAGGAGGCACATGCCGAGACTCGGCTTTGCCGAGTAGCTGGGTCTACCCCTGCCACGTTCTCAGCCCAGTGTGGTTTCAAGGCCCGATAGAGACCTGGAGGCCGCAGTGAGCCTTCGAGGCCCAGGCTGGTACCTGGAGGCCGCCTGAGTAATTTCCCAGCGTTCCTGGCCCGCCCGCTGGGGCATGGACTGGAAATTCCCTATAATAGTTGCTAATTAAATGATTCCTGCTCCTCCTTTTACTGCGGCTCCCGCTCTCCCTTACTCAGCTCCCTGAGCGCCTCCAGGATCCTCCGCAAAGAAGTCTGACTGGTTTGGGGAGGGCTGGGCTGCCGCTTCCCCTTCCCGCCACCCACCTGCCCGCCCGCTGCCCTGGCACAGCCCATCACAGGCTCTGGGCCGGCGTGCCAGGAGGTGTGGGCCAGGCAGCTCTAGAACTCAGGGCCACAAGCCCACGCAAGATGAAGGGACCCCCTAAGCCCCTCCCCAGCCCGAGCCCAGCCCTTGCACAATCCCACTCTTTGTTCCGGAGATAGCCACGGGGATGAGCGGATGCACTTATCTGATGGGGCCCGCAGACTCCAGACAGTCCCGGGGCCTGCTTGTTCCTACTCAGTCTTTGGGCTCCTCTCTGCCAGGCGACGGTGCCCACTCTTGCTCCATTCAGGCACATCCTCGCCCTCCTTCCGGTCGGTCGACCTTTGTTAGACACTTCCTGCGTGCCCAGCCCTGAGCTGGGTGCTGGGGACACAGAGACAAGTGAGACAAAGACCCTGCCTTCTGGCGCCCACAGCCTGATGGGGAGAGGGCAGACACTTAGAAAGACAATGGTCCCCATGCCACGGGTGAACCTCAGAATCATGTGGAGGGACAGAAACCCCCAAAAGAACACACTTTATGATTCCACTGGTAGAAAATTCTAGAGAATACCAACTCACCTACAGCGACGGAAAGCTGACAGGCCATTGCCTGGCTACGGCAGAGGGCAGGTGGGTGTCAGCTGAGTGATTTACAAAGGATGCAAGGACACCTTCGGGGTTGATGGGCATGTGTGCATTATTGGCTGTGTGTGTGGCTTCACGAATGTACACAAATGTCAGGACTGGTCAGAGCGTACACTGGGCTGTGTGCAGGTCCCTGCATGTCTGTGAGAAGCCGATAGAGCTGCTGGGTAAGACAAGGGCTGGGAGGCAGTGTGTGCCATGTGGCAGGAAGGTCATGGGAGAATGCTTGAGGGTGGTCAGGGAAGGCTTCCTGGAGGAGGCAGCTGTTGAGCAAAGTTTTTGGAGATGAAATAGGAAAGAAAAGAGAATGGCGCTGAGTTCCAGACGCCTGGGTTCAGATCCTGACTCCTGCATTCACACAGAGCTATGTGACTTTGGGCAAGTGACTTCACCAATCTGAGCCTCGGTTTCTTTTTCAGTAAAATGGATTCTATAATAATTTACCTCCTAAGGCTGGTGGGAAAATTGAATTGGGGAAAGCACGTGGCCTCGCATTTCATGGTCACAGCATCAGCAAAAGCCTGGGGCAGGAGAGGAACAGCAGCAAGGACGTCTGTGTGGGGTCAGCAAAAACAGAGCAGAGAGGTGGCAGAGCGGGGCCACAGGAGGACCTCAGGGACGAGGGCTGCAGGACACCCGGGCCCTGGTGAGGGCTGGAGCTATGTCCTGAGGACCGGGGGGCCGAGGCCAGCTTGGAAGCAGCGGAGTCTCATCACCAAGGTTCTCCTTTAATAAGATCACGCTGATGATTACATTGATACATTTTAATGTCAGCTGAGGAAACAGACTTGAGCAGAGGCTTGCGCCCAGGTCCCACGGCGTCACACGGCTGGCAGGGACGTGACCTCTTGTCCTCCCAGCGCCTCTACAATCCTGCAGGCGGAGGAAGGGCTTCTATCTGGAGCACTTGCAAGCCTCCCGTGAGGGAGAACTCACCCTCAACTGTTGACAGGCCTTCCTGTAGGGCCCAGTTAAGAGGGGCCTCTCAGACTGGACCCCG